TATATATATAGATCCAACCTGAATTCTTGTCTTCTAGTAACATTAATAATTGCCAAACCAATTTTGTCTTCATAATTATTTCTGAGCTCATTATTGGCACCTTGCTAAAAAAAAAAGAATTTAGTCGTAGGAAGTAAAAGAAACAATGCATATTACCCCATAAGTTTTTCAATTAGCAAATTACCTCCTTGTGGTTTGACATATGTTAAATCCTTGTCATTTCAAGAATCGTGTGTTTTGTGTCATCCAAACCAGCAAAACAATTAGAGGTCTACTATAATAGATTAAATGACACTGATAGTGCAAAAATTATTTATCGTCGATTGATATTTTCTTTTTCTTGGAACACAATCCGCAGATCGGCTATTCTTACAATTGTCATTTGGAGAGCACTTTCACTGGTTATCTTTTGCACTGCAAAGGTTGGACTTCGACATATTTGTACCCAGAAAGACCATCTTTCTTGGGCTGTGCCCCAGTTGATATGCAAGGTTTCTCCTCACAACTTATAAAATGGGTTGCTGCACTCACACAAGCTGGTTTATCACATCTCAATCCTCTCACTTACGGCATGAAAAGCAGAATGAGAACTGTTCAATGTTTGTGCTATGCCTATTTAATGTATTTCTCTCTATATTCTTGGGGTATGGTTTTGCATGCCAGTGTCCCTTCTACAGGCCTTTTGCTTGGCATTCAAGTTTACCCCGAGGTAAAATCAAACTATTTTTTCTCTCTATCTTTGCGAAAATGTGTGGTTATCTCATTTAAAAATTTATACCGTTGATGGCCATTTGGTTTCAAGGATTAGAGTGTTATCCCAGTATAAAATTTTGAACTAAGTTTGTCCGGTATTTGGTTGTGAGTATCAGCTAAAACCAGGATAAATTTTAACGAAAATCATGGAATTATTTATAAGGTGGGAGATTATCTATCCTGGTTAAAATATTGGTGGGAGGATAATATGGTTTTGAATATAATGACCCCTTAGAGAGAGCAAATCTTGATTATTAATTATATTATGTCTCGGTACGCCATTTATGGTGTATTATGATAACATGAGTTGAGTTTAAAAGTAAACATGAGGATTTGTACAATGGACCTAATTTATTTGAGACCGAGGCATAGTTGTTACTCTTTGTATTTCAATTTAGATGATGAACTTTGACTACGCAGAAAGTTTAAGAAAAAAAAGAAAGACTTTTGAAACTTGTGGTCTTAAAACTTTAAGGGGTAAAAGCTTTGTGTGGCCGTGACATTTGTGTGGTTATAAAAGTTTCTCATTAAGGGTAAAATAAAGAGTTTAAAGTTGAATTATTTTCAAATTTAGAAATGTGTCATTTATTTTGGAACATACTAAAAAGGAAAGTAGCTCATCTAATTTGAAACGGAAGGAGTATAATTTATATCTAAATATGCCCCCTCGTGTGTGCACCTATTTTTTCATGGGCAAACACATGTAAATATGTTTTTGCTTTTCGTATACCAATGAGATTTGAACCAAGGATTTCTAATCTACTCTGATATCATGTTGAAATATGTGTCCATATCATCAAACAACTTAAACTTTTAAATGAGATGATCGTACATTTTAGTTGCCAACTCTGCTATGATCTATTTTTGGAAAGCTTGACAACTTTTCTCCGTATTGTTTTAGGTCTATGATCCTTGGTTTGCAGTATACGTAATCGCGTTCATATCAACTATTTTGGAAAATATGTCGGAGTCAATCCCAGAAGGCGGATCAGTAAAAACATGGTGGATGGAATACAGGGCATTAATGATGATGGGAGTTAGTGCAATATGGTTAGGAGGATGCAAAGCTATAATTGAAAAGATTATTGGAACTCAAGGAGAGAAATTATATTTGTCAGACAAAGCAATTGATGAGAAAAAACTAAAGAAATATGAGAAGGGAAAATTTGATTTCCAAGGTATAGGGATTCTGGCCGTGCCATTGATAACATTTTCGGTGTTGAATCTCGTTGGCTTCTTAGTTGGAGTTAATCAAGTGATTATTACTATGAAGTTCGGAGATGTTCTGGGCCAACTCCTCGTATCATCTTTCTTTGTCTTTGTGGTTGTCACTGTTGTCATAGATGTTGTGTCTTTCTTAAAGGTTTCTTAGAGCCTAGCTCTCAAATGTATTATTTGTGCTTGGACTATGTTCTCTTGAATAATAAAGTATGTACTTCTCCCGGCAGATTTAAGCAATGTACTTCCTTTAATTTATTTTTTTTGCTGTTTCCGTCCAGAATCTACCTTTTAGCATTAATTAATAATAAAATTGATCATATTAATCTTAATTTTTTCATTGAATATAACAAATACTCCTAGACTCTTTATTTCAAGGGCAACTTTGAAATAAAGTGATTAATTTCTTCTTGATATCTGAAAAAATCAAATATTATGAACCACAAAAAAAAGATAAAAAATCAATTAAAGTGATCCGGAGTAATTAACTTTTAAGTTCCGAAGAAGGAAAATTGTGTCGTTCTTTGTCGCCCTCCATATGTGGCTCCATTTTGATATTGCTGACGTATATCATCTCAACCTCTCTTTGGTTAACTTTAATTATGTAAGTAATTATGAAAATTGAAAAACACAAAACTGATATAAAGTTAACTAAAATATCTATGAAAAAACACTCCAAGAATTTTTGAAGAAAAATTCGCAGAAAACTAAGGGAATTTTTGAATTCGTATGTAAATTACCTGAGGTTTTAAATTCGTATGTAAATTACTTACGAATATTTTCATAGAAAATTCTAAAAATTCACATGAATTTTTTGGTACGAAAGTTAGGAGTTCTCTTGCGGATTTGCATACGAAAATATCTGTAAGTAAATCCCCGAAAATTACTGTCATAGTATTTTTATTATTAAAATTATATTTTAATACTATTATTAAAGTTATATTTATAAAGATTATTCTCTACATATATTATTTTTGTACTTGGATATACGCTTCCCACATATATACATCACCACAACATTGTCTTTCTTATAATAGTTATTAATAAGTTTATTACATTAATACACCAAGAGGCTTAGTAGCAATTACACTCCTTCCAACATGCAGACGTTATAAACCGGAGAAATTCACATCGTTTGGCAGGATGTGGGACAAGATGTCCCCACTGCAATTTCTCTCACAATGTAGGAGTAGTATTTTAATGTTTCCCTCTTATTATTTCTTTTTTTCTAATTTTGAAAAACAGATGCATTAATTAAGGATTTGATAAATCAAGCAAAAAATTCTTTTTAGATGTAAAAGCAAGTGAATTAAATTATAACTATATACTTTTAGTTTAATAATATTCTTAGTTATTTTTCAAAAGTTTCATTTATATTCCTTGAATACCACTAATTTCTTTTTATATAAATGTTATATTAATTAACAATAATTCTTGTACATCGTAATTGGTAAGAATTATTTTGTTAATCCTAACAATTTATACAAGATCAAGTTATTTTAATATGCTAGAAGTTAATCAAGAGATGATGTTAAAAAGTAAAATCATATGGTCACTAGAAATTAAGTTTCAATACTAACATTTACAAACTAATATCATTTTAACATACTACGATTAAATTTTATCATTTTAAATACATGTGAAAAAATAACATATATAAGATAAAAAGTTAGTTACATTTTTTATAAGTACAATATAATTTTTCTCTGTTTAAAAATTATACTTAAATTATGCACTTATGCATAATTTAGTATATTTTATGATGATATTAACTAAAATATGCGAGACATGGCCGTATCTTAGTTTTGTTATATCCTTTTATATCAACCATATTAAAATTTTATTTCTTGAAATAATTGGATTTATGCTAATAATATTGTTATTGAAGTTGTTAGAAAAGTGATGACCGACTATATTATGATTAATGGCTTGTAATATTCAATCCGAACATGTATATATCATTAACTTTTATATAGAGTCAGTATTTTTGTCACGATCCGAAATTTTTTACCGACGGAACCGTGATGGCGCCTAACATTTCACTTGCTAGGAAAGTCAATGTTAGAAAATCGTTAAACCAATTCCTTATTTCCATTCAGTAAATAACAATGATTAACTAAGATGAAATATAAGAGGTGCGGGATTTTATAAAACTGTATTAATTACTACCACTCGGATCTGGAGTCACGATTCACGAGCATTCTAGAATTTACTACAAGTAATAGTCTGAAAGAAATACAACTGTCTGAATGAAAGAAAATAACAGTGACATAAAAGGTAGACGGGGACTTCAAGGTCTGTGAACGCCGACAGATCTACTTTGAGTCTCCGGACAGCGGACAAATAGCAAAATCTCGATCAACCTGAGCCGGTATCAAAGTCTGCACAGAAAGTGCAGAGTGCAGCATCAGTACAACCGACCCCATGTACTGATAAGTGTCGAGCCTAACCTCGGCAAAGTAATGACGAGGTTAGGACAAAACACCCACATATAACCTGAACAGTATAATCATGCTAGTGGCAACAACATTAAATAAAGAAATAACGCAAAAATTATGGGAAGAAAACATACAGTGGGGGAATACGACATAAGAGTGAGAATAATGAAAAGACAGAATTAAACCGAAAATCCTTAAACGAATTAAGCAATTAAAACAGCAAGAAAAACTGCACGACATCACCCTTCGTGCTTTTACTCTCAACTTCACCAAATAAAGAAATATAACGGCACGACATCACCCTTCATGCATTAAACCTCTCATAATATACACGGCATCACCCTTCGTGCTTTACACTCTTCCTCACAATATAAATAATACATGCACGGCATCACCCTTCGTGCTTTATACTCTTCCTCACAATATAAATAATGCATACACGGCATCACCCTTCGTGATTTATACTCTTTCTCACAATATAAATAATGCATACACGGCATCACCCTTCGTGATTTATACTCTTTCTCACAAAGAAACCAGTATTTTGCCCATAATCAATAGCACAATGTAATCTCAACCTTGAATCAATATTCTAAAGTTACCGAATCTCAGTGAAACCAGATATGAGTCACCCATCATTTCAAATAACCCGATAAGTATGGATAGTAGAATTTAAGGCTACAAAATAGACAAGAATAATATTTCACTCGCATGCTATGACTCGACAACGACGCATAGATGCTCGTCACCTCACCTATACATCGTATTTAACAACCAAACACGTAGCAAATGAACACATAATACCTATTCCCTTAAGCCAAAATTAGACACGACACTTACCTCGCTCCGAAGGCCACTTAATTCCCAATCACAGCTTTTTCTTTGGAATTCACCTCCAAACCACTCGTATCTATTCAAAAATGACTCAATAATATCAAATATTGCTAAAGGAATCAATTATATTGCATAAGTTAAATTTTTCAAATTTTCCTGCAAAAAGTCAAAACATCGACCCCGGGCCCGCTTGGTCAAAACCCGAGGTTCGGACCAAAATCCATTTACCCAATCATCCCCGAGCCCAAATATATAATTAATTTTAGAATCTGACCCCAAATTGAGGTCTAAATCCCCAAATTCCCGAAATCTCTAGTTTCTACCCTAACCTCTAATTCTACCATGAAAACTCTAGATTTTAGGTTGAAAATTCAAGAAATGTAATGGGTAATTGAAAGAAAATGGTTCAGAATCACTTACGAACACTTTGATGAAGAAATGAATCTTGAAAAATTACCTCACACCGTTTGGTTTTTGAGAAAAATGAATTTTTGGCTAAAATCCCATTTTTTGGATTCTGTTAAGTTCTGGGCGACAGTGTTCATCGCGTTCGCGAGAGCACTATCGCGTTCGCGAAGGGTACTGTCTACCAAGACTTCGCGTTCGCGAGACCCAGCTCGCGTTCGCGATGGTTACTCCCCCTGGCCTTCACATTCGCGAGGCATTGCTCGCGTTCGCGATGAAGGAACGGCTGACTCCCCCTCCCCAATGCCTAACACTACGCGTTCGCGATGGGCTTGTCACGTTCGCGAAGGGTAACGCCCCCATCGCTTCGCGTTTGCGACCAACCCTTCGCGTTCGCGAAGAAGAAATCCCTGCCTCATCAGTTTACTCTTCGCGTTCGCGAGAGGACCTTCGCGAATGCGAAGAAGGACATGCCAAAACCTAAAACTCTGTAGAAAAAAAATCAGATTTTCAAAGTCCAAAACATCCCGTGGCTTATCCGAAACTCACCCGAGCCCTCGGGGCTCCAAACCAAACATGCACACAAGTCTAAAAATATCATACGAATTTGCTCGCGCGATCAAATCTCCAAAATAACACCTAGAACTCTAAATTTAGCACCAAATCAAATGAAATTCTCAAGAACACTTTAAAGTTACTATTTTCTCAACGGGACGTCCGAATCACGTCAAATCAACTCCATTTCTCACCAAATTTCACAAAAAAGTCTTAAATATCATAATAAACCTGTACCGGGCTCCGGAACCAGAATACGGACCCGGCACTAACAATGCCAAAATCAATCAATTCTTAAAAACAATTAATTTTCACACTTTTAATTTTCATCAAAAATTCATAACTTGAGCTAGGGACCTCCGAATTCAATTCTGGGCATACGCCCAGGTTCCATAATTCGATACGGACCTACCGGGACCGTTAAAACACGGATTCAGGCCTGTTTTCCAATAATATTGACCGAAATCAACTAAAATTAATTTTTAAGGCATAAATTCTTATTTTCATTAGTTTTCAACATAAAAGCTTTCCGAAAATATGCCCGGACTGTGCACACAAATCGAGGAGGATAAACATAAGATTTTTAAGGCTTAAAAGCGTGGATTCGAGTTCTAAAACATAAGATGACATTTTGAGTCATCACAATTTTAACTATTTTTACTTATACAATCGAGAAAATATATAATAGATAAAATTAACACTTAAGGATGTGTTTTCCATATCAAGTTTTTGTAGTTTTTAGAAGAATTTTTTTTAAAATTAAAAATGATAATATTTTCTTACAATTTTAAATAATATTTTTTAAGTATTTATAGAAATTCAAATTTAAATATCTTACTATAAAATCCTCAGGTAAAATTTCAAGTATTATATATTCAACTAAAGAAGCAACAATAACATTTCTATCTAAATATTAAGAACAAATCCTCAACCAAAATTTCATATAAATTTTAGGTAAGAAAACTCTGAGCTATATCACCAAGAACAAGTTTCTAGC